CCTGCTGCGCAAGTGCAAGGACCCGAGTTCGATCCCTAGTACCAAAATATATATATATATATATATATTCCCATTCAAAAAGGGAGGACTCAGGGATAGAAAAGAATAGGACCAAAGCAAGACTGAAACTCAGAAGGGCAGACAGTAAATCCTATATCTATAAACCATAAATCTATATCTGGCATCTAGGGAATGTGCTGGTGAGAAGTGAGTTCCAGAGGGCTAGGGTCACCCAAGCTGATGGTCTTGTTGGTGCAAAATACATGGCCTCTCTTTTAGGGTGGCTGCACTTGTTGCCTATGGCTTTCCACAGCAGATGTATCACATTCCTGGCGTTTCTAATTTTCTTGGGTCTCCACTATACTTTTGGCTTCATTTCCACAGCTTCATGTACCCACCACTCCAGAGCTGATTGCTTGGTCTCTCAGGCTGTCTGTTGAAATATGAGTGGAAGGATCCATAACCCCACAATTCTTTCATTCTACACGTCTGTACAACCAGCATCATGTGGATGATGTCAGGGTCTGCTTCCAGCTCAAGTGGTAGTCAGGCCTCATTGGACATGGCTGCAGAAGCCTCTGAGTGTCTGGATTACTGCTGAGCACAGTGAAAAGAGCCCTGGGGAACCAATTCCCTAGGAGCCCCTTCTTGGGCAGGAGTTCCATGGACACTCTCCCTAAGTGAAAAGTTTAAAATTGTGTACCCGTGATCCTGCAATCCATGGGGTCTTGCTGATTTCTGAGTTGTCCTCAAGGCATCTTTCTTCTTGTTCTTGTCCAGAGTACTTGATTTCCTTTTAATGGTGCTAATCTCTTCAGCAGCTCCACCTACTTTGGCCCTGACTTGATCTGATTACTTTTGGGCCGAATTGTTCAACTTTTCCTGCTTTGGTTTTTACCTCAGACTCACTATAAATCTGGCTAAAAGCTTCCAGCAATACTCATGTCACAGCCTGAATGTTGGGTTGCCTTGAAGTGTCCTCTGGCAGATAATTGGACCACTGCCCTTAATCTCAGTTTCATACAGTTTCAGAACATGGGCAAAATATGGACTTTTTTTCCCCCAGAGTATAAAATATATGGTCTCTGTCAAATGGCCAGTGTAGTCCCTCTTCCCAGCTGATACTTAACAAACTTGATCTTTACTATCCACATTCCTGTCAGCATTCTGGACTTTTGAACTCCAACCAGAATCATGCATCAGGCTTTCCTTAAAGCTTTTAGGGCTTTTCTAGCATGCATTTCCACACTCCTCCTGCAATAAAAGCTCCAAAAGGCTTCTAAACCACATGGTCAGGTACAGTCACAGAAATGCCTGTACTTGTTTGGTACTATTATCTGTATTAGTTAGCTTTCCTGTTGCTGAGACAAAATACCTGACACCCACAACTTAGAGAAGGAAATAATTTGTTTGGGTCATGCTTTCAGAGGGTTCAGTCTTTGA